ACGTACTTACGTTACTTACGTTACGTTACGTTACGTACGTACGTACGTACGTACGTACGTACGGAACGAACGTAACGTAACGACGTACGTACGTACTCTCTCTCTCTCTCTCTCTCTCTCTCTCTCTCTCTCTCTCTCTCTCTCTCTCTCTCTCGTGTAAAAGAGCTTACTGAGCATTTTATAGCTTGAAATTAAAACATATATTTCCATCTCACTTCCAATAGTATTCATAATTGTGAGTTATCTTAAAACTCTACAACAAGAACGATGGCAAGTGGCTTACAACTTTCTTTTTTTTTGAATCAATGGGGTCACTCTAGTCTACATTATGCCTAGTTCAAATCAAGAATCTAATAAAATAATGAGTCAATATAGACAAATTAAGAATAATGGACTGAAATCACTGGATTTTATACAAATTAAGAATAAATCAAGAATCCAATAAAATAATGGGTCATTATAAACAAATTATGAATAATGGACTGGATTTTATACAAATTAAGAATAATGGTTTAGATTTAAAATTTTAACATCATAAAACTTATGATTTTTAATTAATGTATCAAAACCTTCTACCATGGTTGATGGATTTAGGGATATATTTTTAAATGGAACTAAATTCGTTGGTTTTTTTAAAGTAAATTCCACATATATAGATCCCAAGATTATACATTATCAAAACCTTGAATCATAGTTGATGGGAGCGGGGATCTATTTCGCAATAGTACTGGAATCCCCTAATAGTTGGAACGTTATCCCTATAATTTGGGAGCGAGATATCAAATTATTTGAAAGGAGATACCAAACCTTTGGGAGCGAGATTCTAAAATTTTGGGAGCGAGATCCCAAGATTTTGGGAGCGAGGTCCCAAAAATGAAAATTCAAGATCCTTATGAGATCCCTAAGAAGAACTGTGGGATCGAGGCTCCGAAGCGGAAATGGCACCCTCAACCCACGGTTCCCTTAACTATGGGTGAAATAGCCCATCTACCTTAGCCTCACCGTCTTTGAACCTTCTCGCTAGAGTATGACCACAAAATATATACTACAATTGAAAGATAGTCCATCCAAACCTTGTTTTTGATTGGTAAGATTCCACCCAAACTTGATTGTCGAGACAGTTCAAAAAGGATCACATAGTTACAACACAAATATGATTTTCTCTTGTCATCCGGAATTTTGGGAAGAAAGAACAAGTTTGAAACTCCTCATATGGTTTTTTCACCATTATACTTCCTCTTGTCTTGGTACATCACTAAAGTCCCACTTCAAGAACACTTCTAGTGTTCTTCTCTCATTAAGTCATCATTCTTTCTTACCCCCAACCTGGATAAATTGATCCAAGAACCAAGCATTCAACTGACTAACATATCAAAATGTCCACTACATTTTCACAACATACTGAGGATAAAAGTGGGGGTTGATCTAACACCTATCTATGGAGCCTGGGTAGCAAATGAGAAGTGATGATCATTCAATCTCAAGAACAGCCTAGTAATCATAGGATTCTCTTGAACAAAAAGTCCAAGTATATCTGGATTCTGAAAACTGACGCATGCTAATTGTGATACTACCTCAAACCTTCTCAAGAGACAACTAAATGACATTAAAATCCTTATTCTATAAATCAAAGGCAATCTCATAAAAAAGCCCTTGACCCAGCCTGTTCCATCAATAATCGTCCCTTTAGGGAAGAAAACTGGACAGATTTGGTCATCCGTCATCTACATATGATGATAGCCAAATAACAGAAATGGAGAAGAACATCATTTATCAGATTGTCAGATTATTTAAGGCAATAGCACTCTTATGCCTGAAACAAAGGCAATTCCTAGCCAACAATTTTGTTTTTGATAATATTAACTTTGTATTGCTATAAAAGAAGAGAGAGTACATCTGTTGGGGGGGAAGGGAAACCGAGACGACCCATGAGAAGAATGTCTCCATCAAAAAAATTTCCAGGAGCTCTAACAAATGTTTCCTGGTTACAAAAAATTGTATAGGCAAAAAATGGGGCTCATAAGTTACAGTGTGAAGAAAGAGCCTAACTACAGTCCTTGAACCCTAAGTGATCCAAAGCAAAAAAACAGATGGACTGGTCGGAATCTTCCACATATAGGAGCGCTCCGTCTTTAGCAAGCAGATCGGCGAGCTCGTTCGACGTCCGCCAGATATGCTTCCAAAAGACATTGATATCCCTGCAAATATAGTAAATTTCATCAAAAATCTTGGAGAGGTACCAAGGGGGTGAAGAGATTCGTGCTGCCCATGTTTTGAGCATCTCCTTCTACCATCAGGGTTTGGCCACATGAAGGGTTAAATCCTTTCACGCCCATCAGAAGAGCCAAAGCTTCTGCTAACTGGGAGTTTCCATGGCCCACAAATAATCCTGTTGTAATCTCGAAACACCCCTCTTGCTCCTGATGGGCCTGGGTTACACAACGAACAACCATCAAAATTGAATTTGATAGTATTTTCGGGAGGGGCCTGCCAAATGCGAGGCCTCTGGTTTTTGAGAGGTTGAAGGTGTAAGATATGTTCCCAGTGGTTGAGGAAAGCATTAGGGGGGATCCCGGCAAAGTCCTTCTGGGTAGAGGCCCAAAAGGTTACTAAAGTAGTAATCTTATGAAAAAACGCAGGTACCTCTTTTTTTTACCATGGAAGACCCTCGCGTTTCTTTCTAGCCAAATGGTTCATATGGTAGCAGTGATTGTTGCCTTTCAAAGGATTCTGCCTGTCCTAGGCCAGTGGCTGCCTGAACAGGAGCAGATAAGGTCCTTTACCGAAGGTGCGAGGGCACAATGAAAGCTGAATTGTTGAAGGACAAGACTCCACAGTTCAAAAGCCTGGTTACAGTGTAGAAACAAATGAGGATTCGACTCCTCCTCTTTCAAGCACATGGGGCATCTGTTGGGAAGCTGGGGCCTCTTTTTTGGAGCCAGTCTACTGTGAGGGCCCGTTGGCAGCAGGCTACCCAGTTAAAGGTTTGGACTTTTGGAGGAGCAATGGAGGACCATACTTTGGAAGTAGCCGAAATGGGGTTAAGTGGGTAAGTTGGTGGTTGAGTAAGTTTCTTATAAAAGAAAGAGACTGAGAAATTACCAGATGGAGAGGGGGTCCATACCAAGGAATCATCCCCGGCTGGTGATGAGAAGATAGGATGTAAGGCTGCCAACATATAGAAGACGAGAGTGTGGTCTCCTCTTCATTGAGGTTTCTTCCGAAGGATGGATTCCACCTCCTTCGGCCCCCTGAATTAACCATCTCTTCTGCGATGGTAGAATCTTTGTTACGAGCAAGGTGAAAGAGAGAGGGAAAAAGGTCCCTGAGTGGGGAATCTCCAATCTAGAGATCAGACCAAGAGCGGACTCTGGTACCTTCTTTGGGGTGGAATCATATGGACCTCTTGAACATGGTATGAGAGGAAGCAAATGATTTCCAAGCACCTGACGCCCTTCTGCTAGAGATCCTGTCAGGTACCCACTCATGTTCCGGGATCTTATATTTGCTTTGTATAACCTGTGCTCAAAGCGAGGTAGGTTGGGTGACCAATCTCCACCACCATTTCCCTAGCAAAGCCTGATTGTGTTTTCTGAGGTCTCTGATACCTAAACTGCCTTGGGATTTAGGTAGTCTGATTTGATCCCATGAAATTAGGTGGTGTCTGGTTTTTTCCGCTTGTCCTGACCATAAGAAATTCCCACCGACGTTGGCATGTGAAAGATGGACATTAAATAAACAAGTGTGTTGGCCATTGTTGCTTTGACCAGTGTAGAGCGGCCAGCAAGGGATAGAAATCTCCCCTTCCATCCTGCCAATCACCTATCTACTCTATCGATGATAGGAGCCCAACCACTCTTTTTCGGTTTTCCAAGGCCCAGGGGGATGCCCAGGGGGATGCCCAGAGGGATACCCAGGTAGGTAGTGGGGAAATCCTCGACTATACATTCCCAAGAAGGAATGAGGGTCCTATTTGCTTGGGATGTGAGACCAACTCCCATCATCTTTGATTTATCCATGTTGACTCTGAAACCTGTGGCTATCTCAAAACATTTAAGGAAAAACCTAAAGTTCTCTATTTCTTGTGGTGAAGCATCAAGGAAAACTAAAGTGTCATCTGCATATTGCAGGTGTGACACCAAAGGACCTTGTGAGCTACATTTGAGTGCTGTAAGAAGACCTTCCTGGTATAGGCGAGAGATGGACATGCTGAAAACCTCTGCTACAATGGTAAAGAGAAACGGGGATAGAATTTCTAGCCAACAATTGGCAGCCAGGCATAATCAGGTTGGTCCCAACCAATGTCAATCCGATAACAAAACCATCTTTTTTTTTTTGTTTGCGTTGAATCAAACTTGAAAGTTAGTGCTGCTAAACATCAGCTGCTAGCCATCAAACATTAAGCAATTTTGTGTCCAAGAACAACATGTAGACTCAGTCACAAACTACTTTGTTAAATAGTTCATCTTGAGCCTTTCATGATAAAAGCTTAATTGACTCTAAGAAAAAAAAAAAATCAGAACTTGGATCCTGCTGTTTCTGTGAGACCCAATCCCTGTGCTTTAGCTCCCCTTGACCTTCCCATTATAATAGACTTCCAAAAACAAACATTATACCAAAATTCAAAAATTATACTTCTTTTGTGCCTTGGAAGACAATAAAAAGAGGTTATTAACTCCTTTATGAAGAATTCGATAAAATGGACAGGTAACGGAGAGAAATACCTTAAATGCCACATTGCAGCGGCTTATATTGACAATCCTTATAGCACTTCTCACTTGCTTACCCGGTTCATCTGCATCCAGCAGTTCCGAATTCAAAATAAATGACACCGAGATATGTCAAACAAGGTGGCTACAAGAACACTTGATTCTCAATCTACTGATAGAAAAAGAACCCTTAATATGATAAAATGACCAGAATAACCTCTTGAACCATCTCATAATTTGCGCTCTCTTCTGATAACAGGTACAGTATTATAATTTTCCAAGAGGAATTTGGTCATTAAGAAGATCGAATGGATATAAAAGGGAATAAAATTAAACCGGTGACTCTTTAGCTATTTGAATGGGTACTTTCATCATTGCCAAAGTTGAAGGGCATACCGTCAATGTACGAAAACTTACAAAATCCGTCCAGACTAGCACACACCCATATCCAATTTCAACTCTCAATATCAACAGTCACCAATAACATTTTCTGAAATGCCCAGTATTTCCTCCCAGAAAGACTGTTATGCCTTCCATTTCAAACAGAAATATCCCTTTTACCAACACATTTTTAAAGAAGTGCCATGTGGATCATCAGGAATGGTCATATTTGAACCCAAATAATAATAATAATTATCTTCATTTTTTTCCAGAAGATTTTAGTGCAATGGATGTCATTGTCATGGGCATTGAGCTATCCCTGCAAATGAAATTTATTTAAAGGAGCAAAAAATATACAAATAAATGGAAATTTGACTAAAACAGCCAAATTGTAATTAACCCATTTACTAAAATCTAACCTTTCAAAAATGATACTTTCTTTTCTACAAAATTGATCTTTTCAGAAATGAGTACTGTGCTCCTAATTCAAGCAATTATCCATTTACACCTAACATTCACTCCTGCATCATATAAAAACCCTTAATAAAGCAAACATTCCTAACAAAGAACTCTATATGATACCCAAAACCAGAAACCCTTAAAATGCTAACCCTTTGGAGGATATAACAAGCATTTTACAGGCATTGCAGGTGCCATTATAAAAAAAAAATGACCTTTGAGTAGATTCCCAGTATTTAACTCATTTACACTGAATAGGAAAGAACAAAAACAATAAACCCCAAGATCTACTTCACCCTAAACTGAAAATTACACTCTCAAAATAATGAGAAAAATGGTGAAGGCATACAGGGAAAATAAAGCTTGGAGCGTGGGTCTAAGCGCAGTCTCCGTCTTGTAGGTAAAAGGGCTTTAGCAACCGCGGCTATGGTGGTTTTGCTCGAAGAAGGAGCGGAGCCACCATTTTTTTCGGGCTGATTTTCATGCGAGAACGGCATTATTAAGACAAAAGTTTTCTCCTTCTTCTCCAATTGAAGCGTGGATCGAACCTCTCAGCTCTAAGGGGATTCCGCCATTAACGAAGCAGAGAAGCTCTGCAAGTGCTTAAGCCAGAGAAAGGAAACAGTGATGACTGTTGCCATTATGACATGTTACTGTGAGCTTTTGAATTTTTATCGACTTCGGATCAGCTGCTCAAACAATTTAAAGCATGTGGTTTCTATAAGGCCTAGGCTTTATGAAAACAAAATAACGCTTCAGTTCATATCTTGGTTCCGAATGCACTTTAGGTAACAGAAATATTTATGATGGTTTTGAGTCATAAAGAGAGGCTGTACTTATTTTGATAGGGCTGCAGCCCTATCATTGTAAATGTTTAGAGTCGGGATTTGAGTTTTTGAAATGGCCCACACCTATGAAGGAATATCATGAATAGCCCACGTTGTGCATTCTGCAATCGACAGCCCACTTCAGTTCTCCGAGGAACGAAAAATTGCTATAGTTATTGGAAGTGGGAAAGGGAGAAGAAATCCATAGATTTTAATCTCGAATGTATACTGTACAAGTGAGGCCCACCTTAAAACCTTGTGTAAAAAGTTGTTCGGACGTTGGAAGTGGAAGATCCTTCAATTCACATTTTAAAAGACAAAAAAGATATCATTCAATTAAGGGTGCGGATTGCATAGAGCCTCTAAGCAATTAAACTAGACCCTACTTTCAAATAGTGTGGAGATATGTGGTTTCAATACTAGAAATTTTTGTGATAGCCTTAAAATATATTTTAAAGTTTAAAGCTTCAAAAATAATGTAGAACGATAGATCTATAAAAACTTGAAAATTTTGAAAATTGACACTCCAAAAATACATTACAAAATATATTATTTTCAAAACTTGAAGTCCATTTTTTTCTTATGTACATGGATCTTGATGTTGAGATGATCAATTTTAAGATATCTTAACATCAAAACAACCTCATCTAATGAAATGTTTATGGTAGACTCTAATTGGTTTGTTTAGAGCCTCGGCTCTATATAAACTTTTCCCTTCAATTAACCATATCTAGACTTCCACCCGTATGGATATGAAAAAAAATAACAGAAAAATGATAGATTCCCCCAATTCATCTTCTCTCCTTCGACTTTTGATAACACACTATTAACTCCAATATTATTTTTCTTCATAACTACCTCTCAAGTTAAAACGTTATTTTTTATTTTTTTACCAAAATGCTCTCCATGTAACTTATATTTCCAAAACATGACACCCAACATATGTCGTTTCGGCACAAAAATGTGTCGGGCTTGTGTTTGGCTGGCACAAGTTGAATATAAAACCGATCTAGTACAAAAAATGTTCTAAACCTGGTTTATACAAGTTGTGTCAGGATCAGCTTAGAAAGATAAAGTGGGAAACATGGCAAAAAAAAAAGGGTATTTTGATAAAAAAAAAATCAACTTTTGTAGGGGGTAGTTGAAAAAAAAACCCAGAAGTTTAGGGTAGTGATCTCATGCAACGGTTCTATCATAGTATAATGCAACCACACTTCTAGAAAACCGTATTTGCAATTTTTGTATTACTCAAAATTTTGCACACACACTCTCCTCATCTCAATAATCAACCCCCCCCCCCCACCCCAAAAAAAAAAAAAGTTTAATTTGGACCCTAGATCCTAGATATGCTCAAAATAAGTCCCCTTCCAACAGCGAATCTCTACCATTTATTAGGTGAATTTCAAGATCTTAGCCTTTACAAATTCAAAATCATTTTTTTTTTTTTTAACATTGTTCATCTAATAATAATAAAATAAAAACAATTAAAAAATAAAAAATCCTTATAAGACCTAGATCTAAGCATCTTATCACTAATTGGGCTGAAAATTTACTTTCTAGGTTGTGTTTTCAAATTTTTCTTTATTGTGATCGTTCATTAGAATGAAAAGAGTGTATATTTAAATTTTGAATCAAATAAATGGCCCTAACATATTTTTTTTAAGGTTGTTGCATTTTACCGAGATACAACCGTTGCATGAAATCACTGCCCAAAAGTTTAATAACATGGCATGAAAAGTGCTGGATGTTGGGTTTGGTGATAGCTAAATCACCGTACCTATATTTTCTTCTAAAGATTAGGGTATTATGAGAAATAGAAAATTGATTTTCTTGAGAAGCAAGAAAGTGATATCTTTATAAAATAGTGAAGGATGACATAATACCCATCATTTGAGGGTCACCCCTTTGGGGGTTATGGGAATGGATCTCTAATATGGAGATAGGTCTCCAAGAGAGAGAGACATAGCCTCCGAGAGAGAGGGGTATTCCCATGAGTTTTGAGTTGGTTAACTTCCACTTCTAGAGAGAGAAAATATCTATATTGCTTTCAAGATTATCTTTTCGATATCGGCATTGCGATGGGAAAGAGGTTGATCGACGATGTTGATTGGTTGGGGGAGTGGGTTTAGAAGGGAAGATCGATGATGATTTTTTTATCGATATTTAGAGATAGGTATTATCTCTTGTAACTCAAAACTGTAATCTTCATTGTGATAGTGGATTTCTAATTGCTAAGATCGTGGATTTACATAGTTTACAGGGGAAACCACATAAATCATGTGTTGTTGTGGTGTGCTTTTTATGTTTGTTTTTTTTCTCGCACTCGATTTATAGTTGTATTTATCTACTTCATATTTAATCAATCATGTACACGATTTTGGGTGGGATCTCGATATTTGGGATTCCCGATTTCGCAAGCTCAGGGGTTCTAGCAATTCCTACAATTGGTATCAGAGCACAAGGTGTGTATGGGGCTAATGTTTATATTAAGAAAAGAGGAATGACGGAATTTTATGGATACCTGGTTTGAGGTGGAGAAATATTAAGGCAAAGTGTTTGTGAAAATTCTACAATAGAGGCAAGTGAGAAGAAATCAAGAAATATCTATGGTTTAAAGTGGAGAAATATGAAAGCAAAGTGTTTGTGAAAATTCTACAATGGAGGCAAATATGAAGAAATCAATAAATCTATTCAACGAAGGTTGTCAAGCAGCTACGGTGATTTCGCTATCAGGGTGGAGATTGTTGAGTTTGGTAATAGCTAAATCACCATGCCCATATTTTCTTTTAAAGATTAGGATATTATAAAAAATAGAAAATTGACTTTCTTAAGAAGCAAGAAAGTGATATCTTTATAAGAGAGTGAAGGATGACATAATACCCATCCTTCGAGGGTCACTCTTTTGGGGGTTATGGGAATGGATTTCCAATATGGAGATGGGTCTCCACGAGATAAAGACATGGCCTCCAAGAGAGAGGTGGTATTCTTCTGAGTTTTGAATTGGTTAACTTCCACTTCTAGAGAGAGAAAATTTCTATATTGCTCTCGAGATTATCTTTTTGGTAGCGGCATTGCGGTGAGAAAGAGGTTGATCGACAGTGTTGATTGGTCGGGAGAGCGGGTTTAGAATGGAAGATCGGTGATGGTTTTTTACCGATGTTTAGGGATATATATATCTCTTATAACTTAAAACTGTAATCTTCATTGTGATATTGGATTTCTAGTTGCCGAGGCCGTGGATGTAGCCCTACGGGGTGAACCACATAAATCATGTGTTGTTGTGGTGTGTTTTTATGTTTGCTTTATTTCTCGCATTCGATTTATAGTTGTGTTTATCTACTTCACATTTAATCAATCATGTACATGATCTTGGGTGGGATCTCGGTGTTTGGGATTCCCAGTTCTGCATACTAAGGGGCTCTCGAGATCTCTAAACTGGGGAGGGCAAAAGTACAAATTGAGGGGTATCTATAATTTTCCTAAGAAAAAGATATTAAGTCCCAAAAATATTACATCATGTAACATATTATCTACATATTCTATGTAATAGATCTCATCAATTTGCACTACTTTTGGACCTTTAAGGTCCACAATTAGGTGTGAAAACAAATTTTCAAGCCATCATAAAGTTTCTAGCACTAAAACCACATCTTTTGCCAAGGTTTGAAGGTACATCTCACTTTGATTATTTAATAAACCATATCCATTAGGAAATAAAAAATATTGACATACATGTATGGAACTCGTGCGACTATAATTTTTCAGTTGTCCGATTTGAATGAACAATTATGGTAGCCTCAATCATAATGTTAGAAGTTAGCCTCCGACAGCTCAGAGTATTTTGTTTTTAATCTCTTTTAGTAACATTTTGAGCCAAAGTTTAGATTAGCCCTCTTCTCGTTGCGACTCACCTAATAAAAATTAATAAAATGCATTTTAATAAACAATTAATCAAAATGCCTCTTTTCTCATTTAATTTTATTAGAAATTTTAGTTTCTTTTTGCTAGGTATGCTCTTCGAAGGAGCGGACACTCTCCAAATTTCATACCGATCTGAAAAAAATCTTTTAAAATAAAATTGTGTTAGACGTGACACTGTGACTGAATTTATATGCACATGTCCCTTAAAATATCATGCCATATTTATTATTATGCTCAAGTCCTTTTTTCTTTATAGACTTTTATTTTCGCAAAATATCTCGCACTAGAAGTGTCAAATCCAAATTTTAATTTCAATTAATTGTCGGGCCCAAATATAACATAGATTGCAACGTTTTGTTTCGGATAGTATATGTTCGACTTAAGATCTTTAGGATCATACAGTGCGTTAAAAAAAAAAACAAACTTTTAAAGTTAAATCGCTAGATTGAAGAGATCAGCCCCAACTATAATGTTCAAGCTAAGATGATCAATTTAAAAGTTATTCAACACTTGAATTGCAAATTTTGATCAGTTTTGATGTGAGGGTTTACTTATTTTGATAGGGCTGCAGCCCTATCAAACTATTTTCCAAAACAAAAACAACTCGGATTTTCTTTCTTGGAAAAAATAAAATAAAATTTTGAGGCCTCCATGTTCATTGTAACCCCTTCCAAAAACCAATCTTCAAGTAAAGATGATTTTGGATCTAAAATTTACGTGGCCAAATCTCGACTACCAATTGAAACCTTAAAAAAATAGATTAATTAATAGAATTTAAATACGGGTGTAGTTTGTATAAGGTTGCAACCTTAAACAATTAAATTAAGGCACACCTCCAAATTTTATTATAAATATAATTTTAGTGCCAAATATTATTACGATGGTTTAAGAATCTATTTTCATCTCTAGTGATAAAACTTTAAACTCCAAAAATCATTCAAATCAAGTAGATCTATCAATACTTGAAAATCTTGAAAATAGGCGGTCCAGATAATGTGTTGCAAGATACATTATTTTAAAGA